TTGGTATCTTTGATTCTACTTAATTATTGTTTCATCCAAATTAAGAAGAAGAAAAAACGTTACCGGACATCAAACTTATTTAAAAACAGAGGCGTATGTGGTGGTTTGTCATTGATAGCAATTTTAAAAAACAAATGATTACTGGATAGTATAACAACTTTTTACGCATGTCTCCTATCAATTTTGAACAACTCGTGAATTTAATTGGACCAAAAGTACCTAAAGGAGACACAATTTTAGAAAATCATAATCATGATCACTCGCGACGTGCGACGCGTACTGATTGAACCGCGTAACAGTCAAAGGATTCGCCAAAAAACCGACAGCCGGGTGGAGCACTCTAAGCGAGCAACGAGTGGCTCGTCAATTTCTGTTTATTATTATCTTTTTGGAGCCAACAGCCATCGATAGAGACAATGGCAAGAGGTCGGATGGGATGCTACTTGTGTGGACACACTTCCCTCGGAGGAGCACAAATATAGGAGTATTTCCTACTATTTTGCTTTTATTTCCTTTGCAGTAGAGAACTTGTGCTGTGAGGTTCAAGTGAGCTAATTAAACATTTAAGTTGGCGCCTGGTGACCCCAGAGCTGGTGCTTTCCTCAACAAATAACAAATAATTTTTATTACTATATAGGTTAAGAATATTGTAAATACTGTATATTTTTGTGTTAGAATTAATTACGATTTTTCAAAACTCGTTGTAACATTTTATACGTATTAAAACACAACTAACACCCATTTGATATGTAATTCTTAATATATATGGAATTAAAGTTGCTTTATTTACATTTATACATATAAAGAACTCTATTACTTAATGAGTCCTGGTCTGACAGAACCCACTAAATCATAGACAAAAAATCCCGCGCGTTTTCGATGACAAGGGGACGCCATGTTGAATTCGTCGCCGCCCCTCGCATAGATCAAAATGCGTTTAATAATCTGCAATTTTTTTCAGTATTTATTTAAAAAACCCTTATAAAACTTAAACATAAATTCTACTATTTGTGGCTTTAATAGTTATTTAATTTTGTATGCGTGTATTTAAATATATATGTCGATTTAAAACTCAATTTTACTTTAATTTAAAAATTTCTTAAATAATTAGGAGTGCGACGGACGGCCAAGAAATTTCATAAATATAGACGGTGTAAATAGTAATTTCTAAATTTTAATTGAACAGCTTGCTAGCCACTGGACTGTGAAATGTATGTTTAAATTTATAATTAATAAATGTCAAGACTATATGTACGTATATATTATATGTTAAAGTTTAGCAAGCTTTTTTTTTTTTTTTTATAGAACGGGGGGCAAACGGGCAGGAGGCTCACCTGATGTTAAGTGACACCGCCGCCCATGGACACTCTCAATGCCAGAGGGCTCGCGAGTGCGTTGCCGGCCTTTTAAGAATTGATACGCTCTTTTCTTGAAGGACCCTAAGTCGAATTGGTTCGGAAATACTTCAAATATATGAGAGGGTGAGACCTAAGAACATAACGACCCTAACACAAATAGTGAATAAATAAGTACGTACGTGATGTATCCACCAAGAGACCTAAGCTAACAGCCCAGGGAGCCCTGGTAGGAGCAGTGGTTGAAGGTTGTGGAATAAGTGTACTTGTTTACCTACATGAATAAAGATATTTTGAGTTTTTTTGGGTTTTGGTTGGGAAGGGCCTCAAGGAGGTTGCGCCACTATGAGAGGAAGCGAAAATGAATCAGACAGAGCAATCAAATCTGATTTATTGTTTAAACATATTAAATACTACTTACACATATTCACACATACATAATATTACTCTAGTGAGCAGCTGTTATTGGGACCACGTGTCAGCAGTTGATCAATGTTCGAGAGAAATAAACACTGAAATTAATGTGTGTGAAATTCGATTTGACGAATTCAAAGATGTTTTATAGAAAGCGTCGGTCTGTCATTTTCATACAAATCTATCGGTTTTAAGTAGGTAGTTTATGAGAAATGGATTGAAGTATCAATCTCTAGTAGTAAAATCGTAATGAACATTTCAATCAAGAACTTTGATCCCTAAATATAGTTTATCGTTCAAAATCCCAACCAATTATTAATAATTCTAAGAATTTAAGATTCAGAATAGTTTTGTCAATTCAAGTTTAAATAATTGTAATCAGACATTGTCAATCAAAGTCTAATGGTTTTGGTATATCTTTTGTACCAATCTGTGGAGCCAAAAACGTATTTATTGCAATGCAATGAGAGTATCTCTTTCATGATCATTAGTCAATCTAATAGGCAAGTAGGTGGTAGCCGGTTTCCTCACGATGTTTTCCTTTACCTTTCGAGCGAACGTTAATGCGCACATAGAAATAAATTCCAGCCGGGGATCGGACCGACGACCTCAGAGATGACAGTTGCACACTGAAGTCACTACGCCAACACTGCTCTTAAAACTCTTAGTATTATGAAGATTTTGGGTTGATCCCTCCTGCTTTGTTTCATCACCGAGCCGTATTAACTCCAGATTTCATCAGCATAACCTTGGTGACTGAAAGTATTCTATTGACCGCTTTAAGACATTTTTACGTACTTGCGTATTGTAAATAAATGTTTTAACAAGCTTGCTGTGTCAATTATTTTTTATAGAACAGGGGCAAACGGGTAGGAGGCTCACCTAATGTTAAGTGTACCAGCCATGGACAATGCCAGAAGCCTCGCAAGTGTCTTTTAAGAATTGGTACGCTCTTTGAAGGACTCTAAGTCGAATTGGTTCGGAAATACTTCAGTCGGCAGCTGAAGCATACTGTTGGTGCTTAAATCAACTCGGTAAGGGATTGGCTGTAGACGAGTCAAGTGGATGGATATGATACTGGGGAGCTCCTACCTAGAGGTAAGAACGGTGCAACACCTGGGGCCTTGCGCTTCATACAGTTGTAAGCGATGGAGTGAGTGAATGTGAAAGTGAATTATTTTCTTTATCCCTACATAATTATCTATTTATATTACGCTTGGCGGACCCATGCGACTTTAACACAAAGAGTTCTCTCGGGAGTTGAGAGCGATAATGCGGGCTACTGCTGAGGAAGGTGTATTTATCTGGTCTGGCACTTTTTTAAGTCCTCGTGTCACGTTCACGAATATATATATATATTTTTAAAGAGCGCATCGTGCAATCAGTCTTCTGACTAGGGTCAGATGAGTTGTATGATGATTTGCGGGTGGAGATATTCCTCATTAGGAATTTCTACCATAATAATATTAGCTCAGTCAATGCTGCTGAGCTCCAGGGTTCTTCGTCACGTTCACTAATATAAAATAATAATAATTAAGCCACTTTAATTCCATACTATTAAACAAATTACATATCAAATGGGTGTTCGTGTTGTTATTAAACAAGTCAAAGTCTACGTTAGTTATTGTTATTTTCGTTTCTTTGTGTTCTGCAGTATTTTGGGTAATTATGGGTAGTCTGGCTAACGAAAGTAGATACTGGCATTTTTTTGCAAACTTTTTATGTGACAACACTAAAGTTAGAACAGTCAAAATGTCTTGATATTTTTTGAAGTGAAACTTCTTTATCGAGGTTGGAAAAAAATTTAGTGTAACATTTTTTCGTTACGCGTCACATTTTTCGGTTACGCGCCATGTTGCTTTTTGAAGTCAAACTTCTTTATCGGCGTTGGAATGAAACTTCTTTATCGACGTATGGGAGAAATTTTGTAGCAAATCGTCACGTTTTTCAATGATAGTAATAATTCTATTACAATTAATGAAATTCTATAATAATCTTCGTAGTAATAAGGTAAAATGAAATATTTGTATTCATGTCTATGATAATAAAAGCCTTTTGTTAAACTTTATCTAATTTAACGAATTTCTGTAAAGTTGCAAACAGTAGATCATTTTTCGAAAAATAAGATCATAAAGAAGTTTCACTTCTTACGTGTGTACACCTAGTACACGCACAATTTATTGTTTATTTTAAATAAGTGCATATTAGTTTTAGTTACTTTAGATAATGTTATTGTTCTTTTACAGATAGTCTTGAGGATAATGCACGAACTGCTGAAGTAAAACAATGTTGAATTTTTAGATTCAGATTTTGATTATAGCGATTAAAAAACAGTATAAAAATATATGGTGTTGTTTTCTTTGATACATACTCACATAGATTTACAAATATTTAAACTCATGATAATATTGATACTCATGATAGTGTTTGATAGCCAGTTTGTTCCTTTAATACGCCACAATGGAGTGACGTATCCGTGTGATGTTTGGTATGGAGTTAATAAAGAGTTAACAAGTGATATAAGCTACTTTTAATCTTTTATAACGCGGACAAAATTGCAAGCATCCACTAGTAAAATAAAAATGAATGTCAAAGTATCAAAGTGAGTTGTTCCAACTTTCCTTTTTGCTTTAGGGCTGCCATGCTGATATTTTTTAAATGTGCCGCGCTTTTTCAGTATCAACTTTCATTAGCCAGACTCTAAAGGCCTCTTCCTGAACTTTCCAGTTGGATCTGTTGTTAGCTTCCTCCAGCCAATTCCCTCTCTTAAAACTTCACTAAGTCGTCAGCAGCTTTTGTGGTCTTCCTACGTTTCTTTGCAGCTGGCTTCGGCGGTCCATCTTTTATTTGTGCACCTTGCAATATGACCCCCCCATTTCCATTTCAGCTGTAAGGCGTTTGTTAGCGCGTCGGTGATCTTCGTTTTCGCCCTGATGTGGTCACTTCGAATTTTGTGGACCTTTTTTATTTTCAGAATGATCACAACGCTCGTTCACAAACATAAATCCATTCATATTTTCATAAGTTATTGTCCTCAATTTAAATAAATGGTTAATTAAAAAAAAAACAAAATTGTTTATAATCTTCACAAAGGTTTCATATTTGATAGTTCTGTCATTCATCTATCAATCGAAATTCTTTTACAACCAAAAAAATATTAAAAATGCCGTAGTAAAACCGAGTTCCAATAAAAAAATTCCAGTTTAAACCATAACAAATTCCGTTTAAACCATGAAGGACGACGACGGTGAGTGCCACTGCTCCTGCCACTGCTCCTAAGCACCCTAAGAACTTCTGTTAAACTACCTAAATATTACAGAGGATGAGGAAAACACCTTCGGTGTCACCAGATACCCCTGCATGCCGTCACTGGTGGCCCTCCAGCAGATGCGGAACCGTCTCCATCTGGCCTTCCTTGGACGGAAGCTCATGAAATGGACCATGACAGCCACCGGACGAGAGATGAGGAGAATTGCTGGAGAGATCGACGCGTTAGTTCTTATTTTAGAATATAGACTTATTATATATATATTATATATTTATGATACATTATATATAACAAAAAAACAATTATGCTAAACATATTGCTACATAATATGTTAAAACATTTACGAAATAGTAAATAAAATACATTTAACTATGTAATACCTAATTTGGCTGTGTTGTGTGATGGTATGTGTTGAATGGAATTACAGTTCTTATTTAAGAATGTACTTGTTATTTAACGAGAAATGCTTCTTACAAAATAAGTTCCTTAAAAATTTCTTTGCAATTTTTTATCAGGTTTACCGAGCTTTTGTTACTGCCCATGGGTACATAATATATCGGAGTTTGACAATTGACATTTCGTTTACAGAATATACAAAGGCTTTGACGCTGATTTACGAAACGCTTACATACTTTTGGCAAGAAGTCGCTATTTCGATCCGACCCTCAACCAGATGGTGTTGGAGAACATACCCACTAAGGCAAGTGTTTGTTTGGATTTATACCTCAGCTGAGCTTCATCAGAGTCGAGGCAGAATACGAAACCCGTATCAACTCGACACTGGTCTACCAAGGCAGTTGGGCAGCACCACTATGAGGAACCAGCTGCCCACTGCATTTCTGTTCAAATGCAGTGGGCAAATGCAACTTAGGGTCCTTCAAAGAGCGTACGCGATCGGCGTAACGATTCTGGCTTTGTCCATGGCTGGTATCACTTAACATCAGGTGAGCCTCCTGCCCCTTTGCCCTCTGTTATATATAAAAAGGAAACGATTAACACACATAAATTCAGTAAAGAGAGAAAATCGCGGTTGTTATTTAGAGCTAAAGTGAGACAGCGATACATATATATATAAATCATAGGACTGAAGTAAGTTAGGAAAGTACGGAGAAATGTCGTCACTTCATCGACATCATCATTAGTGAATTTGGCGCGTCACGTGGGTAAAGTGCGAGCACAAATGACACGAACAATAATCGTAGAGTATTTAATTTAGATTAATTCCTTTTAACTACAAATAACACTTTGTGAAATTATAACGAGCAGTTGTACCGATGTACTCAACCACAAATCACATAGAAATCGGTCTAACGTAATAACAACAATATTCCACTGAATACTCAAACAGAACTACCCGGCGTTCTCTGAACGCACTGTCCAAAGTCAAGATGGCGCCTCGACCCCACTTTTACATTTTCTCTGATTTGTCGTAACAATATTCGTTAAATTATAATTCCAAATGTATGAATCAATTAAATAATAACAAACAAATCGAATCAAATTCAATTATGATACTTAAAAGTAATAGAAGTAATCTCAATTAATAACCAAAGTAACAATAATAATGAACAGTCAATTCAAGATTTCCTGATAATCCGACCATTTCCCGACATATAATAGGTACATATATATATATACCTTCAGTCAAAAGTTCTGTTACAAGTGAAAATGCATTCCTTTTAATGAAAGTAATGCAATGTTATTAAAATTTATAAATAAATAAAATAAATCAGTGGCGCTACAACGTTTGAGGTCTGGGCCTCAGATTTCTGTATCTGTTTCATGATCATTTGTAAATCTAATAGGTACTCTTGCGTCTGACACACGCCGTCGACTTTTTGGGTTTAAGGCAAGTCGGTTTCCTCACGATGTTTTCCTTCACCGTTCGAGCAAATGTTAAATACGCACATAGAAATAAAGTCCATTGGTGCACAGCCGAGGATCGAACCTACGGCCTCACGTGAGAGTCGCACGCTGAAGCCACTAGGCCAACACTGCTCTTATTAAAATTTATACCTATATATTTATTAAAGTCAAAAAATAAAAAAAATATTCTAAAAATATTCGAAATAGCTTTTTGCTTTTATACAGGCCTTTAATCTGTTTGGCCACAAATCTATAGATTTACGCACTGTTTACAATGACCTCTAAAACTGACCAAAATTTGAAGTCTAAAATGGTCTAATCTAGGAAAGTCCATGGTATATTTTTAAAAAGTGTATTGCTGAGAGGTTTCACAACATGATCCAAGATTGTATCTTGATACACTTTGGCTGAAGTTTTCACTCCTTTATCGAAAAAATGTAGTTTTGTGATTCCTTGATAAGACACACAACCAAAACATCACTGACGCAGGATGATAACCACGTTGTACCTTTCCAAATCCTATTTTGTGTTAACACACCAGTCCATATTAGTTTGATAATGAACAAGAAAAAATATGTGAAGTGGCGCAAAATCGAAAGAAGTTTTAAAAATAATATACGTGTTCCAAATTCAAAATAATTAGGTTGAAAAAAAACGTTTTTATGCAATTATATGGGACTGAATGATTTTTATTTGCAATATTGAAATAAAAGTAATATACAGTAATAGGAAATAATAATCTTGTAATATGACGTCAAGGCTTTTATGTTATATAACACTATTTCGATCAGGCTCACAACGCCTCCGTGGCGCAATTGGCTAGCGCGTTCGGCTGTTAACCGAAAGGTTGGTGGTTCGAGCCCACCCGGGGGCGTAAATTTTTTTACGTAACAATTTTCGTTCTTCAAAACTGTACTGATTTACTTGGGTAGGGAAATTACGATGTAACCCAAGGTGTGAAAAAGACAAATAATTTTATTGTTTAGGCTGCTGTCATGGTGGTGCCTACAGCGAAGGCTGTATCGGGTGTGAAGCTCATGAACTATGCTATTATCGAGGTAAGCCATGATTATATTTTTGACAGTTGACAGAAGTTTGACAGGAGGTGTTCTAGTTGCCTCTTACCGAGCGGCTTGAGCCCTGGGCGTTACGTAGAGATGTGGGGTCTCCCGCCATCCATCTCCTACCGCATTTATCCACGGTGAGTGTTGGGAGGAGATGTTCAGATTAACACCTGTAGCTGCATTTTATCATTGGACGTCCGTCGTTCCACAACTGACCAAAAACTGCCTTTTGGTTTCGTGGAAAAGCTGCCTACTGAAGTATTTCCGAGCCAATTCGACTTTGGGTCTTTCGAGGGGTATCAAGGGGGCAACGCATTCACGAACCCTCTGGCATTTGGAGTGTCCAAGGGCGATTGGTATTTCCAAACCAATACGACTTACGGTCCTTCAAAGAGCGTACCAATTCTTAATAGGCCAGCAACGCATTCACGAGCCCTCTGGCATTTAGAGTGTCCATGGGTGGTTGGTATTTCCGAACCAATACGACTTAGGGTCCTTCAAGGAGCGTACCAATTCTTAACGGGCCGGCAACGCATTCCCGAGCCATCTGGAATTTAAAGTGTCCACGGGCGGTTGGTATTTCCGAACTAATACGACTTAGGGTCCCTCGAAGAGCGTAACAATTCTTAATAGGCCGGCAACGCATTCCCGAGCCATCTGGAATTTAGAGTGTCCATGGGCGGTTGGTATTTCCGAACCAATACGACTTAGGGTCCCTCGAAGAGCGTAACAATTCTTAATAGGCCAGCAACGCATTCCCGAGCCATCTGGAATTTAGAGTGTACCATGGGCGGTTGGTATTTCCGAACCAATACGACTTAGGGTCCTTCGAAGAGCGTACCAATTCTTAATAGGCCGGCAACGCAATCCTGAGCCCTCTGGAATTTAGTGTCCATGGGTGGTATCACTTATCATTTTAGCCCGTTTGCTCCCTATTTTATAAAATGAAATAGAGCGAGCAAATCATTAAAATAGATTTCACAACAGATTATAAACCCGATTAACACAACAACTACTAAACGGATTATTAGATAGTTTTCACCAATAGATAGTGTGTTTCCTAATATAACCATAATATATAATATACTGTAATATTATCAATGCCTGTCTGTTTTTTAGACAAATGCACAGTGCTACGTTCATCTGGGCCTAGAAAAGGGTGGCCAAACTATATTAGAAACGAAAAAGGCGTGGCTGGAACTTCTCAAACGGCTCATATCAATGCTGCAATTGCGTACAAGTTTCATGACAGTGGAGATTTCGAACAGAGCTGCTACCAAGTTAGTAACAAATTATTTGTATAGCAAAAGACTGTTTTCATAATTGATTGGTCAATTCAGTCTAAATTTGGCGCTGAATGTGGTGTGTCAAAAACGTTATTGAGCGTGGAATTTAACTGTACAAGTCTGTATATATCCGTTGACTTGGGCGAAAGGGTAACGCGCTGGTATGGTAAAAAAATTACTCGTAAACAATGGAAATTAAAAAAGAACGAAGTGAATGTTTGCTAGCAAAATAATGTAATAAAAATGTCAAGTTAAAACTGTCTAAGTGGAGGTCTTATCTGTGAGTCTTTACTCTTAGGGCCTTTTCACACGTACCACAACCACACCACGATCACAACCAGACCACGACCACAACCACACCTCAACCACACCACTTGGCCGGGCGTATATTTTGTATTGAAAATGAATAGGACTATTCACACGTACCACATTTTGCAGTCGTTATCGAACGTGTGTGTAATACCGACCACATCGCAACCATAACGTGACCACCAGCGGCACTGCGAACTAGTGGCCGACCACATCGCAAACAAAACGTTGCGTAGACGCAACGACAGTGCGCGCACGCCGCCTTTCCCTCCTCCGGTTCATTCATTCTGCGTTCGACTGAGGTGACAAAGTTTCCTCTTCACGCGAAACACGTTCCGCAATTAAAGCCGGAGTCGAACTGTGTCTGCACACGACGTAATCGCATCGCAACTACTGGCGACAATCCAACCACATCGACATTTTGTCGGTACCACAACGCAACTACAAAAAGCTGCAGCGACGCTATTCACACGTAACCACTGCTTGACAGCATTTTGTCGTTGCGACGTGGTATGGTTGTGGTACGTGTGAAAAGGCCCTTAAGTTCCAATAGGAATAAAGAAGTGCCGTGGGCTCTTCCATTTGACATATTAATAACACTACATAACACTAACAATTTTATAATTTAACTAGTGTTGCATAAGAAGAATTATTTCCGACTGGACAGCTAGCAATTGTTAGAATGTGTAAAGTTTTGAATTGTCAGTGAAAACTTTTGTTTTTAAGAAAACGGTTAAAAGATAGATAGCGATCTTCATCTTAATGTTCCGCGATCCTAAGAAATATTGAGAAACACGTGTATTCCTAGATTTAGTTTATGAATGCAATACAATACCAACTTTCATTTTATTTTTATTGAATAGTAAAACAAAAACAAACCTTTACAACTGTATTCATAAATCTGTCTAAATCCTTTTAATTAAAGTACACAGCTGTCTCTAGCTCCCACAGTAAAGTAAAAAAGTAGTACACAGTGTCAGCTTTTCGCCTCAAACCTTGGGTTTTGCTCCTTGCCTGTGCTATGGATTTTTCCAAGGGCGCATATAACAGTCGCTCAGCGAAGGAAAACATCGTTATACCGGCATATAACACCCCATCAGGCAAAGGCTGATCACCTACTTGCCTCATGAAACTGAAACATAAGAGGCCCAGATCCAAGATAAATATGTTGCGTTGACTTGATAGTTTACTTTGGAGAGTTTTTAGTGATTTTTCTACCATTGATAAAAGCTTTACCACGATTGTATGCCCAAGTTCAACGTCATACAGACTATAAAAATAGTTTTTAAAATAAAGTACTAAACTATACCTATTTAGACCATGAGGCAGAAGGGACATAGAAAACTATATGAAAATACATTATAAACGTGTTTTTTTTGCCTCAGAACAGGCATGTGTTAGCATAAAATCTAAATTTAAATGCACTCTTTTAACAATAGTACTCCTCTCGACTCTTTCTGACAAATTCCGTTAACGCTATAATGAAGAAAGAGTACAGTACTTTAAAACGGTGCAATTAAATTGAGTTATTGCGTAGTTAAAGATAGGATTAACGGAAAACGAAATTTTACTATATATTATACAAAAGCGATTCCAACCTTGGCTGAATGAAGGCATATAACACCAGGTTGGAATATTTACTTTTTATGTACATACGCACATATTAGATGTAGCTCAACGTAGACCTTGTAGTTGTCGTAGTGTAGTCTTAGACTGCCTCACCCTTCCGTCACTCTAAGGACTGGACCTGTCTCTTCGGCTCTTTTAATCATTACGCCTTTTAACAGCAAAAGACGGCCTTTATTATAATAATCATATGTATACGTTTATGACGGTTACTTAAATTGAAAGCTCGTTAGTACTGACAACGTTCCGTTATCACCGTTTATAAGCAACGTTGAGACAATATTTAAGTTTCCCGAAATAACATTATTACATATTTTCAGCGGGTATTTAAACTGTAAACCCGTTAGAACCAACAACGTTCCGTTAGCAAATTTTTAAACATTGTTTTCAATATATTAAGCAATGTTGAATCTGTATTGAAGTATCCTGAAATATCTTTATTTTCCATTAAATTGACAATACATTTGTATGTATGCCGTTAAATGTGCAGCGGGTAATTCAAATGTAAACCCGTTAGTACCAACAACGTTCCGTTAGCACCGTTAATAACTATTGTTGTTTGTATTAAGAAATATTGAAACTGTTGATGTATAATGTGTAACTGAAATTTGTAATTAAAAATTACAATACGTAGAATTTCGCGCTCCCTTAGTGCGTTTACATTCGCTTACATTGAAGTTTAATTCCTCAATATCAGTATCATTTATTTTTTATTTAATTCTAATTAAAAACACAATACAATATAAATTCCTCGATACAAAAAACACAAAGTCACGTCGTAACTTTTGCCCAATTTCGTTTTTATTCAATTATGGTAAGTATTGGAGTCCAAAATGAATTGAACACACACATTAGTTTGGCCGAGAGCTGTTACCAGCGACTTGATTAAATATTGTGTATTTTACGTGTTATTAAAATTAAAATCATGGTGTTTACTTCATATTTGTTTCGCGGAACACTGTTCTCACGCGACCTTCAGGCGTACGTGTTCGTCACTAGTCACTAGAGCGGGCGGAGGGACACGCGCAGGTGTAATCATGAATTTTGCTAGGCTACCACACTCGTATTGTACCCTTAGATGTTTTTGTGTCCGTCAATGCAATAATAATAATAAATCCAGTTTATTATAGATTTGTTGTATACATATTTTGATATCCTAATTTCGTTCTCGGATCGGAACCCCTTAACAAAATACGAAATACCATCCGTATCACCTCAATGTCAGTCGTTCCACAACTGAGCGTTTATTAAGGCAGTTTTTGGCACCGCCACTATGTGGAACCAGTGCACTGAAGTATTTTCAACAACTTATTCCTTTGCGGTCCTTCAATAGAGCATACAAATTCTTAAAAGGCCGGCAACGCACTCACGAGCCTTCATGTCCTGTCCATGGGTATGACTTAACATCAGATGAGCCTCCTATTACAGAAAAAAGGCGAGAAAATAAATATTTTTTTCCAAATATCACTATCTCCATCAACAAATTTTGGGGCGCCATTCTTCTTTTTCCCCTCGGTCCCTTTCTCTGTCTTACCATATGCCCCGCCAAATGCCACTTCTGTTTAATCAACCCTCCAATGCAATATTTTTGAGCAAGGCCAGCAACGCATTCACGATCCCTCTGACATTGAGAGTGTCCGTGGGCGTCAGGCGTTCAGGCGTTCGACTTAGGGTCCTTCAAGAAGTCCTCCTGATACATAAAAGAAACATATATTGGTTGTCAAATATTTGTGCAATATCTGTGTCAACTAAGCAAATATACAACAAATCAGGGTACAAACAAATTTTGTAATTGTTAGTGAACTTAGTATTTATTTTGTATTTTGGGTCTGGACCTCACATTTCTGTACCTATTCATGATTGTCATTGGCATCTAATATGTAAGTAGGTGATCAGCCTCCTGTGTCATGCCGTCGTGTTGGGTGTAAGGCCTCACGATATTTTCCTTCATTTACGAGCGCGTGTTAATCTGTAGGCGTGGTTCTACTTGAGGTTTAAAATATCACTACATCATTGCTAAGTTTATTTTTGGGTGACCAAATAATCACTTCTCTTTATCTACCTGTATGAAGTTCGATTTTAGTATTGCGAAAATTCTGATAAGGCTGTAGTAACCTTGAAATTTGAAAGAGACGTGACAACTTTACGACAGATGCTAATAAAATTTAAAGCCAAGGTGAAGTGTTCTAACTTCTAACTATATATGATATCAACTGTCTTCTAAAAGGAAGTTTTATTGGTGTAAGAATTTTAACTGGAGCACCATAGTTTAACCGTGAGAAAGGCTTTAGAAGAATATATATAGACATGAAGAATACGTTCAGTCCTTACAGAGAGCAGTCATCGGTAGAAAATAAATGCAAAATTAAAAAAAGTAATTTTCAACAGGAAAATGAACGTCCTGGGCAAAATTGTAATACCCAAAACAAATGTCACAATGGGTTATATCAATAATGAATTGGAGGAGCTGGCGAGAGAGGAGTTTTTTAGACTGAAAAAAGTGTTAGATATAAAAAGAAAGTTGAAAGAGGCCAAGGAGGATAAGGTGGAAAAGAAGACGGTGGAGGATAAGCCCACAAAGCGAAAACCCAAGGTAACACCACCAGAAGAAATAGAAGAAGGAAAATGTATTATCTGCGGAGGTATTATACAAGAATTAACAGAAGAAGAGAAAGAAGCACAAGCAGAGAAACTGGAAGAGTTAAAGGCACAGATTAAAGAAATCATGGACATGACAAAGGGTTTGAATCAAGAAGGAATTTTGCGAACCAATGTAAACGAATTTTTACGGACCGCTGAGGAGTTGAAAGAGAAGATTGACGATGATAGTTTAGATTTTGAACTAATATCACTAGATTTAAACCTAGAAGAGATGTGTGAGGAGTGTCGAATTAAATATTTAGACCAACATAAGAAAGTTAAAATAATGGAAACACTTATTGAAGATCCTTTACCGGAAGAAACAGATGTACCGAGTAGTGATTTAAGTCAACTTAATGGTATTACAATAAAAGAGCCTTCTAAAGAGACTGTAAAGTCAACAAAACCTCCTGAGGCCGAAACACCGAGAGAGCCATCTAGTAGATCTGTCAAGTCATTACCTCAGCCCGAAACACCAGGATATTCGGGCGTTGAATCAGATATGGAGTTGGGTACATTTGAAACTGAAGAAAAAGAAATCATCAAGATAAAACGAATTAGAAATGAAGATGGTACTTACTCAGAACAAAAGAAGGTTATTAAAATTAAGAGAGAAGTTAAAACACCTGCTAAAACTAAGTCTACAGCGTCTAATGGAGCACCATCTTCGACAAGTTCAGGAAAGCCCCCATTTTCTGGTTCTAAAACTATAGGTATGGTTGAAGTGCATACCAAAGCCTTGAATGCTTTTGATAAGGTAGAGAACGCTCTACCTATTATTTACACACAATCTTCAGAGTCTTTAAAACGTATTTTTTCGTCTTCCGTAACTTTATTAAGTTCTAATAGTGACCAATTTGTAGCAAAAATTAAAAATTCAAATAAAATATCGAGAAAAACCTATGTTACATCAGCGTTATCAAATTCAGAAGAAGAACTTTTGCTGCAGATCAAAGATAGGCCCTGTAACGTAGCGTCAAGCTTAGAAAATATAAAGCCACGCTATAAAATTAACAAAAGCATTTCTTATTACTATTAGTTATGTCTATATTTATTTTTACTTAATGCCATTTTGAATATGATTGAAAAGTCCTTAGAAGAGACTGAAGGGTGAATATAAATCGACATCAAACATTGAAATTACCTATTTGTCTACAGGCGAATGAACGTTTTGAAAAAAATTGTAATACCAAGATCAAATGTGACTGTTGGCTATATACTCTCTGAGTTAGAAGAAATGGCTCGAGAGGAATTTCATAGATTAAAAAAAGTAAAGGAAAAGAAGGCAAAAGGGAAAAACAAAGGAAAGAATCCAAAACCAGATCACGAGGGCCTATGTCCAGTCTGTATAGAAGATTTAAATAGAGAAGAGGTTAATACTAAAGTTAAGCCTAAGCTAATGCCAGCACCAGCTCAAGAGGTGTATAAACCAGCTACCCCCCAGCTAGAGTTAAGCGCAGCTAGTTCATGGGAAACCGGTGCTGAGCATGTCGAACAACTAGCAGAAAGTAACTTAAAGCTCGAATATATAAAAAAGCATATAAATGAACTAATAACATTAGGAAAAAGTTTTGTGGAATCTGGAGTAGATTATATTGACGTAGAAGAATTTTTGTGTATTTGTGAAGGTGCTAAAGCTAAATTAGAAGAGGCGTTATTTGTTAATGATGAAAGTACGAGTCAATATATAGGAGATAATGATACAAGACTCGAAGACTTTAAAGGTCATCTGCGAGGTGTCATAGAAATAGCAAAGGACTTAAACGTAGAATCTGCTGTTGAACCAAGCTTTTGTGATTTTTTGCAAGCATGTGAGAATATTGACGAAAAGCTAAACACAGATGTTAAAGAAAATAAATCTCGTTTGCAAGAATTAGACAGCCATATTGACGATGTAGTCCAAGTTACCAGTGAATATAAAAAGCAAGGGCTGCTATCACCCAGTGTTGAAGAATTTATGAAATCTTGTAAAGAAATAAAGTTGAAAATAAAGGAATATTCCGAACAAGAATCTAGACTGGATAAGATTAATCACCTTAAACAACATGTTGGTGACTTGGAGGTTTTAACAGGTGAAATGAAAAAGAAAGGCTTACAATCGAAAAGCATTGACAACTTCTCGAAATCTTGTAAAAAGTTTAAAGACAAATTAGATAGTTATGCAAAACCAGAAAGAAACGCTACAGAACTGAGTAGTTTGATTGAACAAATTGATAAAACTATTGGCTTGAGTATGGAAGCAAAAGATATAGGTATAGTAGGTGATAGCATTGAAGACTTGGTGAAATCATCAGAGAAGCTTAAGAAAAAGATCACACCTGTTCAGGATACAAAGTCAAAAATCTTACACAGTTTAAAAATCAATATTGACGACGTTATGGGATTGGTAGATTCGTATAAAACGCAAGGGTTAGTGACAGACAGCGTAGAAGACTTTTTAAAAACATGTAAAGTGGCGAGAAAGAAAATCGAAGGATATGAAATTCTGCCCCCACGCACTGTAACAGAAGACGAACCGCCATGCTTAGGAAGGTGTGTCAGTCGCAACGAATCCTTCCAGACCGAAGTTATTATGCCAGAAGGAGTTGACGTTTGCAAATCATGTCACAAAATGTACCAAAAAGATATACCAACACCATGCGAGTCATGCGCTACTGAAATGAAGGAATTCAAACTACCTTCCGATTTCAGTATTTGTGAAACCTGTTCCAAAGTAAATGAACCAATAGAAATAGCCGAAAGCATCTCAGGCACCTCTGAACACGTTCCTATGGAGGTTTATTGCGATATTTGTAAGAAAACGATGAAAGAAGACCACGAACATGAACCTATTCCAGTTGACAGTAAGGCAGGGTATTACGAAAGGAAAATACGTAAAATAACTAAAGTCAAAAGGTCTCAGAACCCCGATGGAACAATACGAGAAGAAACAGAAACAATTTCAATACGGAAAATTAAAAGAGAACCAACTAAAACGTCTCTAGAAGATGATGATGAAGATGAAGTTTCTTCCGATGATGAAACATGTGTTGCTGTGTGTATTTTACATGATCATAACCAACGTGGCTTTCACGCACGATTGATAAAGTCTGAATCGGTGTTGAAAACTAATCATTCACAAAATTCAGTCTTACGGAATTCTAATTCTATTAGTACTTTGTAATAAGATAATTCCTACTTTTCAAAACGAAAGATTTTGAAGTATAATTAAACATGTCTTAGATATCAAAACATTCAACAACATTAATTCTCTTCGTTTCTTTATGATTTTATTATAGCTTTAACACACTTCTTAAACTAAGATATTCAATCGGATATTGTTTTTGTAATACATAATATTATAATCGAAATCATATACTTGAACCAAATATTATCTAGGAATATACATAAAGGATTTAAAATTGCCTAATGAAGATTGAACGAATTTGTTATTTCTTTAAATGAACCAAATTAACAGAAGACGGAAAGGTGGGTGGCAATAAAGTAGTTTGTGTTCCCAGAAAATTAAATTTATAATTTCACCCACAGGAAATATAACGTACTATCGAAAATGGTTGTACCACGTGTCAAACTGAGTGAGAAATATATCGTATCGGAGATGGAAGAAATGGAACGAGAAGACAACTTTCGTTTAAAACGATTCAAAGAACTTAAGATTAAGAAGAATCAAGCAAGTAATGCTCAAAAGTGTCCTGCATGTAAATTGCCAATTGATAAATGTATATGTGAAAAACCTAATACAGAACCTAAAGATACAGAATGTGTTTGTGTTAGTAAAGAAGAAGAACAAATTATACAACCAGTCTCTAAAGCTAGCTCTACATTAGACGAAAATGTAAGTACGTTTCATGAAACTGTGGGTGACGTTTTGAGAGAAGAACGTTCAAGTCCCGTAATCGCAGAAGAAGATAAGCAACCAGTCCAAACAATAAAAGAGGATACAGTTACACCAGAAAAATCTTGTACTTGTATCGACAATTCAGTAGACTCGAATAACCTTTGCAAAATTATTGGTACGGAGAAGGAAGTACGTTCAAGTCCCGTAATCGCAGAAGAAGATAAGCAACCAGTCCAAACAATAAAAGAGGATACAGTTACACCTGAAAAATCTTGTACTTGTATCGACAATTCAGTAGACTGGAATAACCTTTGCAAAATTATTGGTACTGAGAAGTTAAAAGAATTAAAGGATATTTATACAGCAAAAAGTAGACAAAGTCAGAATGAATGCCCATGTGAACCGATAGACTCTAACAGTATGACAAAAACTCCAGAAAAGTCGTGTACGTGTATGCCTAAGCCTGTAAACATAGAAGACCTTTGCCGAAAAGTTGACGTTGAAGACATGCAACGAATTAAAGAGGTATACCTGCAAAAAGCAATTAACCCTGATCAAACCCAATACGAATGTAGCTGCGAACCAATTGAAAACAAATCAAATTTAAGCGAAGGTAAAACTGATACAAAATCGGTACAAGTACCATCGAATACACATGAATGTTTGAAATGCCAAAACATCAAAAGCAACGAATCTAAAAACGTTTCTATAAACATTAATGAAAACAAAGACAAAGAAGATACTGCGAATGTCCAACCCCAACAGGACAAAGATGTGGGTCACGATAATACAGATGCTAAAGATAAAGAATGTGTTTGTGTTCATAAAGAGGAAGAACGAATTATACAACCAGTCTCTAAATCTAGCTCTAAATTAGACGAAAATGTATGTACGTTTCATGAAACTGTGGGTGATGTTTTGAGGGCAGTATGTTCATGCCCCTTAATTGCAGAAGAAGATAAGCAACCAGTCCAAATAATAAAAGAGGCTACTGTTACACCAGAAAAATCTTGTACTTGTATTGACAATTCAGTAGACTGGAATAGCCTTGGCAAAATTATTGGTCCTGAGAAATTAAAAGAATTACAGGATATATATACAGAAAAAAGTAAACAAAGTCAGAATGAGTGCCCATGTGGACCGATAGACTCTAAAAGTATCACAAAAACTCCAGAAAAGTCGTGTTCATGCATACCTAAGCCTGTAAACTTAGAAGACCTTTGCAGTAAAGTTGACGCAGTAGAAATGCAACGAATTAAAGATATCTACCTGCAAAAAGCAATTAACCCTGATCAAAGCCGATACGAATGTAGCTGCGAACCAATTAAAAACAAATCAAATTTAAGCAAAGGTAAAAGTGATACGAAATTGGGACAAGTACAATCGAACACACATGAATGTTTGAAATGCCAAAACATCAAAAGCAAATATTCTAAAAAGGGTTCTATGAACATTAATGAAAACAAAAACAAACAAGATACTACAAATGTCCAACCCCAAGAGGCTAAGGATAATTTGGGTGGTTCTCAAGAGCTCGGTATAACTATTACTGAGTTTAAGGAATTTGTAACAATTAAAAGATATAGAAAAGAAGATGGTACGATTGGAGAGGAGAGACAAGTTGTAACTGTGAAAAGTGAAGCCAAAAAGCCAAATCCGCCGAATACTGACACACAGTCGTGTTTATCCTGTAAAAGTTTGAAACAGAAAAACTCGTCATCTACCCAAGCAAAAGTAAAAATAACATTACCGGTTGAAAAGAAATCCAGCGAGACATCTAACGTTTCAGTGAAGTCCTGTACAATTTGTAAAATGAACGCAAGTGGGAGTAACACTTCGGTGGATTCAAGAATATCTTTCAAAAAAAAAGAGTGTGCTAGTAAAGCAGCCCAGACTGGAGATAAATCTAAAGGGACATGCTGCAAAATGAATAAAGAAAACAGATCAACTCCAGTTACGAGTTCTATGGATGGTAAATCATCTGATACGTGTTTGAAGCATTCGTCCAATAACAATACTGATCGCGCCAAAAGCTGTTGTGTAATCAAAATTGTATCCAAACCTAAGGATGAACATAGTAAAGATGATAAACTCATAGCTGACAACTGTTTCGAACTATTAAAACGTCTCTTGCTAGAATCCAATAAATCTAATGCGTCTAAACCTAGCGTTTGTTCTTGCCAGTCGAAAAAGGAAGTGAAACGTTCAACAAGTCAAACATCTACCAAAACATGTGAATGTACAAAATCTTCACAGTCATTAAAATCCGAGAAATCACCACAATATTCGTCGGAATCTTTTTTTTCCTGTAAAGATTCGACATGTAAAAAGAAGGAGTCAGAATCATCTTGCAAGTGTAAATCAGAAACGAAGAAGGATACCTGCCCCACTTGTGGTTCTAACGTTGCACCACCAAAACCTGTTAATAAACCGAGCGAATGTTCTTGTGGGAAATCTAACTTGGAATCCAATTTATCTATATTGTCCTATGATTCATTACAAAAGTCTATAGGCACAGAAACTGACTGTTCCCAATGCGCCAAAGCGCAAAGTGCAGCACGGAACAGCGCTTGCCAACAACCAAAACCTGAATGTCCACTTTGCTCCAAAAACACAAATGGCTTCAAATCAAAGTCAGATTCAAATATACAACAAACAAAATGCTGTATCCAACCGAAAATAGAATCTAAGCAATCGAAATGTCCGAGTTGCGCGCAAAAGATTGCTTGCTCCTGCAATTCTGCAAAACCCAACAGCCAATGTTCCCAAGACTCTAAAAAAACTTCAGAACATTCAAAATGTAGTGTACAGTTTAAGGAATGTGAAAGTTGCTGCGAACTACAGTCAAAAGAGGTTCAACAAGCAAAATGCTGTATACAACCGAAAATAGAATCTAAACAATCGAAATGTCCGACTTGCGCGCAAAAGAATTCTTGCTCCTGCAATTCTGCGAAACCCAACAGCCAATGTTCCCAAGACTCCCAAAAAACTTCAGAACATTCAAAATCTAGTGTACAGTTTATGGAATGTGAAAGTTGCTGCGAACAAAAGTCAAAAGAGGTTCAACAAGCAAAATGCTGTATACAACCGAAAATAGAATCTAAACAATCAAAATGTCCGACTTGCGCGCAAAAGAATGCTTGCTCCTGCAATTCTGCGAAACCCAACAGCCAATGTTCCCAAGACTCCCAAAAAACTTCAGAACATTCAAAATCTAGTGTACAGTTTATGGAATGTGAAAGTTGCTGCGAACAAAAGTCAAAAGAGGTTCAACAAGCAAAATGCTGTATACAACCGAAAATAGAATCTAAACAATCGAAATGTCCGACTTGCGCGCAAAAGAATGCTTGCTCCTGCAATTCTGCGAAACCCAACAGCCAATGTTCCCAAGACTCCCAAAAAACTTCAGAACATTCAAAATCTAGTGTACAGGTTATGGAATGTGAAAGTTGCTACGAACAAAAGTCAAAAGAGGTTCAACAAGCAGAATGCTGTATACAAACGAAATTAGAATCTAAACAATCGAAATGTCCGATTTGCGCGCAAAAGAATGCTTGCTCCTGCAATTCTGCGAAACCCAACAGGCAATGTTCCCAAGACTCCCAAAAAACTTCAGAACATTCAAAATCTAGTGTACAGTTTATGGAATGTGAAAGTTGCTACGAACAAAAGTCAAAAGAGGTTCAACAAGCAGAATGCTGTATACAAACGAAATTAGAATCTAAACAATCGAAATGTCCGATTTGCGCGCAAAAGAATGCTTGCTCCTGCAATTCTGCGAAACCCAACAGGCAATGTTCCCAAGACTCCCAAAAAACTTCAGAACATTCAAAATCTAGTGTACAGTTTATGGAATGTGAAAGTTGCTACGAACAAAAGTCAAAAGAGGTTCACCAAGCAGAATGCTGTATACAAACGAAATTAGAATCTAAACAATCGAAATGTCCGATTTGCGCGCAAAAGAATGCTTGCTCCTGCAATTCTGCGAAACCCAACAGGCAATTTTCCCAAGACTCCAAAAAAAATTCAGAACATTCAAAATCTAGTGTACAGTTTGTGGAAAGTGAAATTTGCTGCGAACCAAAGTCAAAAGAGGTTGGCACAAGCACGAGAAGGTCTGATAGATACGATGTAAGAAATATAGACATGCTCATGCCCAATAAACATTCGACATGCACCTGCTCATCTGCCAGTTATAATCGTATATCTGTCGATAAATGGTTTGAGCCACCCCCAAAAGCGAACTCATATCATGATAGATGCTTACATTAAAAGTTGAATGTTTTGATAACTTTGATTCAAAATTGAGATAACACTATAATATTAAATTATACTTAAATACATACACACGAAACTAACATTTTTCACATTGTTTGACAAAATACTGATGTCTTCGACAAATCGATTGCCCGGGGGTACAAAGTCGTAAAGCACTATTACGACTGTATTAATGTTTCTCATTTTTAACATAAATAACTAATTTTTTCAGAATTTTTGCAATTCATTTTACTATAATAAAACACAAGTATGAAATAGGTAGCCAAACCATGAGGATAGTTTTATTTTAGATTGTAATTCTACCAAATAATAATAAAAGTTACTGCGACAGTTTAAAAACAAGTAAAGAGTGGTAATAATATATCTGTTTTACCAAGGTACGCGAAAAAAGTGGTAATAAATTATTACGTTCTAGACATTCGTCAAAATTCCCGTCGTAATGTGCGGTTACTGGGTCATTGCTCATTGGTTATGTTTAAACAGTGAAACAATCATAAAACGCTTTTGCTCTTCAGTCTAATTAGATGAATAAGTGTTTTTTTTAACCGTTTACACTAATTACATAACAAACGTCGAATAGGAAAAGAAAATAGCTTTCATTTGATATATATATATATTGGTATATGTAATTTACTCAGTATCCTAGTAATAATAGCAACTTCTTTAATTGTTCCTGAAAAAAATTGATTATGCTTTTACGACTTAGTTACCCGGTGCAAACGATATAAAATCTCAAATCTCAAACGCAACCGACAATTTGTCTCACTGCCTCACTACCAGAAACATTTAAAATAAATTTTCGAAGGCCTTTGCAAGATTTCACAGTAGCTTTTATCTGATCATAAATTTGAAAATTTTATAACCGTCTTACAGTCTACTGCAATTGTCACTTTCATGAAATTATCTGTCATAGTCATGTATAATTTTTTTCATTTAACGGATGTTTGCATATATTGTTAAAAACCGATATAATATAAAACAGAAATAAACAAATTATTATCACTGATTTTATTTAATTTTTATAAACTATCGCAAAAATTATTACTGGGACAACATCATGGCGTCGATTATTGACGTTTGCCTCAACTTATTTTCTTTTTTTTTATATCTCCGCCCATACACACATTTCCTGAGGGCTCGCGAGTGCGTTGCCAGCCTTTAAAGAATTGCTACGCTATTGAAGGACTATAAATCAAATTGGTTCGGAAATACTACACAGTGGACTACCACTGTGTAGTATTTCCGAACTGTGTGGGCACTAGCCCACTGCCTTGCTATATTAGTGCTTCCATTCTATTGTTCCTCAGATAAAGACATACTATTGAAATGTTTTATTGTCGTCATATATTCCCTTAAATCGCTGAAACTTTTAATACTATATATTATATGTTTATACCATTGTATGCCTCCGTTTGACTTAAATTTAAAATTGTTTAATTTATTAATATACAATAAGAAACCATTGATTTATAAGTGTTTAAACTGATTAACTGCAATTTATCCCCCCCTCCTTCGTCTTGTCAGCAAAACTAAGTAAAGCTCTCAAAAATAATAGTACATATAAACGTATTAATTTTTTGTAGGAATCCTCAAAATGCATTTCGTTTTCAAGCATAGACAATGTGTGGGTAATGTTTGTAAAAAAGTAAATACATAATTACTATTGACGTAATCACCAAATGAGAAAATCAAAGACCCCCTCCCCGCTGTAGTGGCTAATACTTGAACGGCCCCTGGGCCTCAGATTTCTGTATTTGTTTCATGATCATTTGCCAATCTAATAGGCAAGTAGGTGATCCTTATTATGTTTGGCAAGTATATTTTCCTTCACCGTTCGAGCGAATGTTAAATGCCCACGTAGGAAGTCCATTAATGCACAACATCTTTCTGACCATATAACAATTGTATTCTGGACCAGTGTGTCCCTAGTCTATTTTATCTCTCCACTATTTTTACGCTTTAGAAAATTGTTTAATTTAATTTGTCGTTAGTGACGGCTCGCTACGCATAGTAACGAAGTTATCTAAGCTATGTTTGACGGCGTGTCTGCGTACTATAAGGCTTGGACGATTGCCAAGGATCAGGGTTGGCGCTTGACGATTGCAAAATGTTAAAGGCATTATAAACACCTAGCCTGATTGGGTCTATTGTATTACTATGTTCTCGCTACAACCTTTCAGGTCTGGGTCCTATATATCTGTTTCATGAGGCCGATAGCTGATCAGCCTTTGCCTGATTGGGTCTAATGCCGGTGTTACGATGTTCTCCCTACAACCTTTCAGGTCTGGGTCCTATGTGTCTGTTTCATGAGGCCGATAGCTGATCAGCCTTTGCCTGATTGGGTCTAATGCCGGTGTTACGATGTTCTCCCTACAACCTTTCAGGTCTGGGTCCTATGTGTCTGTTTCATGAGGCCGATAGCTGATCAGCCTTTGCCTGATTGGGTCTAATGCCGGTGTTACGATGTTCTCCCTACAACCTTTCAGGTCTGGGTCCTATGTGTCTGTTTCATGAGGCAAGTAGATTGGGTCTAATGTATTACGATGTTTTCGCTACAACTTTTTAGGTCTGGGGCCTGATGAGACAAAGAGAGCCGGATAGACTAGGAGCGAGCTGAAATACGTGGCCCAAGACCCAACGCGAAAGTGCGCCCTCTATATCTAGGGGTATAAGACATTGAGTCAAGTTGCCTCTGTAATAGTACAACGCCAGGTTTGATTGGGACGGCCATACTTCCACTTTCCTTCTGGGTTCCAATCAAGTTTCACAGTAAAACGCCAGGTTTGATTGGGACGGCCATACTTTCACTTTCCTACTGGATTCAAATCAAGCGCCTGCTTGGGGATATAATTGGAATCTCTTCGGCGTGTGGCCTATCCAGTTCCAACTTAACAATGAACACACATTCCTGACATTTCCGTGTTGACAAACATGGTCGCAGGGTCCATTGCGACGCCATCCTGCCTAGTCGTTTTTAAGCCAATAAGAGAATTACAATAACTTATGTAGGTTCTATAGTAACTATTCTTAAATGGTTTTTAATTATTGTCCATTAAAACATTACTGAAGATTTTATACTGGCAACCCTAAAATAAAAAAGTCTAGCAAAACACGACGTCTGTCGGTCAGCGTAGCTAATTATCCGAGATCCGAATTTGAAGTATGCCGAATTGTAAGTCTTGTTTTCAGTCTAGACATAATGGGAGGTAGAAAATGCAAATAGGTTCGATTTGCAAAATGCTTTAATTTATAACGAATATATAAAAAAACTGCTACAGCCTTTTAAGTCTGGGTCCTATGTATCTGTTTCATGAGGCAAGTGGGTGATCTTTGCCTGTTTGGGTCTACTATATTACGATGTTCTCGCTACAACCTACCTGTTTCATGAGGCAAGTGGGTGATCTTTGCCTGGTTGGGTTTAATAGCGAGTGTTAAATACTCTCCCCATCCAGCACGGCCGAGGATGGAACTTCAGGGATGAGAGTGAAAGCGGAACTAGGCCTAAACTCATCTGCTATAGCCGCGAATTTATTGGACAGGAGTCTTTAATTAATTTAATTAAATTGTATTCTTTAAAGATTTTATTATTTTAAAGTAATTTGAATTTTCTGCGAACTTAAATAATTGTTATATTTATTCATAAATTCCAAACATACAATATATATACTAATTGACCCGGCAAACGTTGTTTTGCCATGTATATTATATTTACTCGTAGGAAACATTTTTTCCTACGAGTAGAAATAATATACATTCGTTTAATAAATGTAACTATCTACTATAATAAAAAATAGGGGTTGATTGTTTAGGGGTGAAATCAAGGGTTATATGTATTTTTAATGCAACAATAAAATAATAAAAACAAAAATTTTTATCAAAAAAAAAAAACATGTTTGGGGTGGACACCCCTTATCACTTAGGGGTTTGAAATACAGATAGTAGTTGATTGTTAGTTACTGAGTATGCAAAAACTTCATAAGAATTCGTTTCGGAGGAGTATGGGAACGAACATTGTGACACGAGAATTAAATATAGAGATATTTATATAACATATAAGTATTATGAAGGCATTCTTGTCAAATATTTAAGTATTCTTAACTCATGTGATGTTAAATGATACCGCCGCTCATGGACACTCTCAATGCGAGAGGGCTTTCGAGTGCTTTGCCATTTAAGAATTGGTACGCTCTCGGAAGGAACCAATGTCGAATTGGTTCGGAAATTACTGTCGCCTATAGACACTTAAGGCCAGAGGTAGTTCCTTTGAAAAACTAGTATCATACCAGTATATCCGTTTCCTTAATCTGGACATCCTATATGGCCTAAATAATACTTGGACTTCTCCAAACACCATCAGTGCTTGTTGGTGTGGTGGGTTTCTTGCTACATACTAAGCCGATATAATTGCCAATTTTTTATGTTTTTTTTTTATAGAACAGGGGGCAAACGGGCAGGAGGCTCACCTGATGTTAAGTGATACCGCCGCCCATGGACACTCTCAATGCCAGAGGGCTCGCGAGTACGTTGCCGGCCTTTCAAGAATTGGTACGCTCTTTTCTTGAAGGACCCTAAGTCGAATTGATTCGGAAATACTTCAGTGGGCAGCTGGTTCCACAAAGTGGTGAAATCCAGTGGTGAATCCAGCAGTACAAATTCTAGCACATTTCAAATGTGGTATAATTGTACTTGTGATATGTCATTGTAGAATGATAACCTCGTATGTCAAAAAACCATATTTTTGTTCTTAGACTCTTATGTCGTTTAACTGGTATAATCATGAAGTAAGGACTTATTTATGTTATTAATAAAATAATATTAAATAAGTCCTATTACCATCCAAAACTATGGACAAAACACATAATAACGAACATTGACGAAATAAAGCATTTTTCGTTTCCTGTAATGTTTGGTTCTCTGGACTTAAGAGGTTATCATTCTAGAACGACGATAAGGAAAACTTGTTTTTTATAAGTGAAGCCGCAAATTCATAGTAT